TGCTAATGCTTTTTCTCATACCCCTCATTGTCTTTCACAACTCTATTCTGCAATTCTACAAGTTCCTAGAGATGCCTGCATTGTGTTTATTTTGTCTTCTTGGAAAATATATAAATATCAGGTTCGGTATGTATTTTTGTTTTGTGCACTCTCTAATTTAAATTCTGGAAGTGCAGTGGTGTGGATCTATACATGAAGAGAAAGGGTGAGAAAGAACAAATGCAACTAAGTGTGGTTCCTGTGTATCTAACAGATGTGCCTACCACTGGCCAGCCTCTGCCCTCAGGAATTCACAAATACCTGTATTAATGAGCTGGTTTTACAGAATGTTAAAAAGCATTATAGCCGGGACCAGTTTGGCTCAGTGGATAGAGCATCGGCCTGCCGACTGAAAGGTCTCGGGTTCCATTCTGGGCAAGGGCATGTACCTTGGTTGTGGGCACATCCCCAGTAGGGGGTATGCAAGAGGCAGCTGATGGATGATTCTCTCTCATCGATGTTTCTAACTCTCTATCCCTCTCTCTTCCTCTCTGTGAAAAATCAATAAAATATATTTTAAAAAAATTAAAATACCAAAAGAATGAATTGGGGAAGTATGCTTTAAAAAATAAATAAATAAATAAATAAATAAATAAATAAATAAATAAAAAACCATTATAACTGTGAGTTCCCAAATGGTTGTATCAGGGCTTTCAGTTACAAACAACAGAATTAACTCATTCTTGCTAGTTTTAACAGAAAAGGCTGATTCTCAGAGGCTAGTGCTGCTTGGAGCAGTATCCAAAGCCACCATGAGACCACCCCCAGTGCCTCTGGAAACAGACACTAACACCAGCCTTCACCTCTTATGCCACAAAGAACTCCATGACTCTCAACAGGACTCTGCATAGTGTCTTCTTCCACTTGATGATTTTTTGAGTCAAAGGTCTCCAGGAGTGCTGCTAATGACAGAAACCAGGGCACATGCTGGGTGGTCTGGGATAGACTGGAATAGACATGTCTGGGATAGACATGCGGGAGAGACTGGAAAGTTGACATTTATAGCTTCCAACTTGCAGACCTGGGTTTCACATGTGGGAAACTACCAACATTTAGGAAGAGTGGTCAGCCCTGACTGGGTGGCTCAGTTGGCTAGAGCATCATCCCAATATGCCAAGCTTGCAGGTTTGATCTCTGGTGAGGGCACAAGTATCAATCAATGAATGCATAAATAATTGGATAATAAAATGATCTCTCTCTCTCTTTTTCTCTCACAATAAAAAAATAATAAAATAAAATAAAGGAATAAAATATTAAAAAAAAAAGATTGAAGAGTGGTCCCCCATATTTCTCATAAATAGCAGTGCTTTTGGACTAGATGAACCAAGTTTTGTTCCTGTAAATTAAAAAAAAAAAAAAAAGTTTTTCAAAAGATTTCAGGAGGACACAGATATAACAAGTGCCCACTATGGTACTCATGCAAGTTTTCTTTAAAATAATGTTCCTTTCTTAGGGCCCAAAACTTATCCTATATAATAAAAGCCTAATATGCAAATTGACCTAACAGCTGAATGACTGGTGGAATCACGGTCGCTATGATGTGCCCTGACCACAAGGGGGCAGATGCTCAACGCAGGAGCTGTCCCCAGCCCGTAGGCCCCAGGCCAGCCAAGAGGGTGTCAGTGGGAGCCCCCCCGATTGCCCTGCTGGTTGCCCCACAGCGGGAGGTGACTGGCAGTGGCAGCAGGGGGAGGGACTGGTGAATGGGCAGTGCTAGGCCAGTCAAGGAAGTTCCAGTGGGAGCCCTCAGTTGTCCCACTGGTCACCTCACAGATCTGCCCTGATTGCTGGCCAGTCCTAGGGACCCTACTTATGCACAAATTTCTTGCACGGGCCTCTGGTTCACTATAAAGCATATGAAGAATCAGATGATTCACTTTTTATTTAAAAAATATTCTTATTGATTTCCGAGAGGAAGGGAAAGGGAGAAAGAAATAGAAACATCAATAATGAGAGAGATTCATCAATCGGCTGCCTCCTGTTCACCCCACACTGGGGATTGAGCCCACAACCTGAACATGTGCCCTGACTGGGAATCTTCTGGTTCATAAGTCAATGTTCAACCATTGAGCCACACCTGTGAGGTAGATGATTCACCTTTTGAACAAAATGAAATAAGTGAATATTTCTGGGGAGTTAGTTTAAAACTTTCCTTTTTATGTTTTCCCTCCAACACTTCCTTTTTATCTCCTATTTTTACCTACTCTGCCTCTTTTTTCCCCTTGTCTTCTTCTGAATCTATGATTCCTCTAAATGTACTTATTGATAATTGGTATAAATGACATTTTCATTAAATTTGAAAAAAGTATTGAGTTAATTTACCAATGCTTCCTAATATTCATTCATTAAAAATATTTGGTAAGCACCTACTATGTGTCAGGCCACTAGGGATATGGCAGTGAATAAAACAGACAACTTTCTTTTTAGTAGGTGTAGTAAGAATTTTAAATTACTTCAAGATCTTACAAAAAAGTAAGCAATGAAATAGGATGACGTTTAATAAGAGAAAAGCAAAATTAGCAGTAAATAATTCCATTTTCAAGAACAATATATCTTTAATGTTGAGTTTCTCCATTTTGTTATAAATTCTGGCAGTTACAATAATCTACAACCTGGCTAAAATGAAAGGTGAGTCTAAAAATTCAGGAGGTATCTTGCTCAACTTGGAATGTGCAGGAAATATGTCCTTTTTTGGCATGTCAAGAGCCCACATAGCAAACTTTAATTAGAGAGTTGGCTTGGTTCTTATCAACTCAGTTTAGGCCTTGAGGACAACAAAACATATGAACTTGGAAAGGCTAGCAAAGGGAAATATTTTACAACAAAAGTAGAGCTTTATTGAAAGTGCCCTTTTAAATATGTTTAGCTCTGGTTGTAGTTCTGGATTCCAGTGCTTTTTAGGGCTCCATTGACCAACTAAGAATTTTTTTCAGGTGGCATTTCCCCATTTATTAATGTTTTTTTAGTATAGACTCGTGTATTTTTTATTTCATTCGATTGTTTTAAATCCATCATTATTATTCATTTTGATGTTAAAAATCACCCCAACTTTAAGCATTGGGAGAAATTAAAGCTGTTACTTGAGTCCTTTTGACCAGTCCCCTTCATTTAAAAAGTATATATATATTTTATTGATTTTTTACAGAGAGGAAGGGAGAGGGAGAGAGAGTTAGAAACATGGTTCAGCTGCCTCTTGCACACCTCCTACTGGGGATGTGCCCGCAACCAAGGTACATGCCCTTGACTGGAATCAAACCTGGGACCCTTCAGTCGGCAGGCCGATGCTCTATCCACTGGGCCAAACCGGCCAGGGCCTCTTCATTTTTTAAGCACTTCTTTATTGTCTAGCACAAAGGACCAATCTTGTATTTTATCAACCAGAGAGAGAGACAGAGACAGAGAAAGAGAGAGGGGGAGACACACACAGAGAAGCATTGTTTATGATCAAGCCCCCAACCTGGGTATGTGCCTTGACCAGAATCAAACCCTCGACCTTTCCATACACTGGAAGACGCTCCCACTGAACCACACGGGCCAGGCCTAAAGAGTGGGATTTAGAAATCAAGACTTAGGTGCTAGAACTACTACTGGCTTATCACTGCTTGCACTATAAGAATTTGTAATTATCTACCTTCACCATATAGCTAGAATTTCTTTCTCTTTTTTTTAAACAAATATAATCCTAAGGTTTATTTATCAAATTTCATCAGTGGAGACTTAGAACAACTTTAAAATAAGGGCAGTTCATTATATTGGCATACTTGGCAATAATATAAGTACAGAAACTTTTTTTTAAAGACTTTTAAAAGGGGGCAACACTGATCAGCATTTGGTACATGAATATATCAATAGTAGCACGTCTACTGAAAAATCTTCCTATACATCATTAAAGTTTGGGGGTAATTTTTTTAAAAAAATACATTTTATTGATTTTGTACAGAGAGGAAGGGAGAGAGATATAGTTAGAAACATCGATGAGAGAGAGTCACCGATCAGCTGCCTCTTGCACACCCCCTACTGGGGATATGCCCGCAACCAAGGTACATGCCCTTGACCCGAATCAAACCCGGGACCTTTTAGTCCCCAAGCCGACGCTCTATCCATTGAGCCAAACCGGTTTCGGCAAAGTTTGGGGGTAATTAATGTAGCTTGAAATGTGTTCATTTTAGAATATTAGAGGCAAAAGGGGCCTTATCAAGAACAGAAAAGTGTCATTTTTTTTTTGTATGTGGTTCAGAATGCAATTTACAACACAACTGGCTTATGTTACAATAAGTAAATTCTACTTCAGGCTCTGGAATATGTGGGGCATTAAACCTGATTAAACTTTTATATGACAAAATCCCAATGTTTCTCTTAATAAATGGTTTATCGATATTGTCAGATGTAGTCTAATCATCCAAGAAAAAGTAGTTTCCACTCTTCTTTTGTTCTACATCCTTTTTTAAAAATATATATTTTATTGATTTTACACAGAGAGGAATTGAGAGGGACAGAGAGTTAGAAATGTCGATGAGAGAGATACACGCCCGCAACCAAGGTATGTGCCCTTGACCGGAATCGAACCCGGGACCTTTCAGTCCGCAGGCTGATGCTCTATCCACTGAGCCAAACCGGTTTCGGCTTGTTCTACATCCTTAATGGAATTGAGTATAGCTAGAATTTCATTCCATTGCAAGACAGTGGATTTTTCTCTCTCTCGGTTTCTCCATGTTGAGTCAGCAAACCGTATTTCAGCTTTCCGTTTTTGAGAACCTTCAGGGAGGGGCCAGCCCTGGGCCACGGGCGTGCAATACACACCTGTGTCCTCCGGAGGCCGCTGTGCTGCGCCCAGAGCAGCCTCGGCCGCCGCTGCCTCCAACCTGGGAGCGCGTGCACTTTGCAAGGACACCGAGGAGGGGGCACGCCCGCGCTCCCACTTCCTCCCGGCGCCGCCTCCGATTGGCTCCGGGGCCCCTATAAGAAGCCAGTGGAGGAGCCGCTGGCCCCGGCACAAACTTGCTGGAGGTCTCGGTCGTCCTCGTCTGCCCGCAGACAGCCGGCCCCGGGGGTGGAGGATGAGGACGTCCTGCGTGGTGCTCACCGCCCTGGTGGCGCTGGCCGCCTATTACGTCTACATCCCCCTGCCCGGCTCCCTGTCCGACCCCTGGAAGCTGATGCTGCTGGACGCGACTTTCCGGGGCGCCCAGCAAGTGGTGAGCACCCGCAGCCCGGCGCTGCTTCTTCCTCCCCCTCCCTCCTCTTCAGTGGCTTTGGAAGGGGAAGCAAAATTTCCGGACCGTGTCCCATGAGGATTGCATGTTTTTTCTAACGCAGTGAGGCAGTGGCTTTTTTTTTTTTTTTTTAAGGTGGTTCCTTAGGGCATTTTTTTTCGGGGTCTTGCATTCGCCTCCTTGCTAGCGGCGGGGCCAAGGAGAAGGTGAAATTCTTGCACAGAATCTGACAACTTGTTTAACCCTTCGTCGGACCCACGCAGCCCCCTCTTTCTGGGTTTGCAAAGTCAAAACAGTCTTTCGCCCTAAGCCGGCTACCGGGCAGACTGAGGGGTGGCGGGTTCGATTCTGGTCAAGGGCATGTCCCTCCGTGGCAGGCTTGATACCTCTATTCCGGGCGCCTGCGGGAGGCACTCTCACATCCATGTTTCTGTCTCTGCCTCTTTCCCCCTCCTTGCCACTCTCTCTGAAAAATCCATGGGATTAACAACAACAAAAATCTTTTCAGCGTTTTCTAAACCTCTCCCCCATTTCATTCTCCGAAAGGGGCCGGCAGAGAGCGATTGAGATGTTTTTAGGACAGCTCTGGATAAAACCGGCTCTCCTTTCCAGCCAGGCAGCCACCTTAAAAGCAGAAGCCCCAACCAACATCCCCAGGCTGTGGAGCTCTCCGTTCCGGGGGGCCAGCAGTCTGGGCTCCTCTAAGCACTTGAGGAACCGCTCAGATCTCCCATTTCTTGCGTGGCATGTATCAGCTCAGCCCTAGGAAGAAGGCCAGGAGGCCTGGCTGGCTGCAGGAGAGGCTTGGAGGCCAGCAGCCCGTGTTTGCATCATGCATTTGTTTCCTGCCTGCTCTGCAGCATGTATTTGCTGTCCTTGGCTGTGGAGGAGATAACCTTTGCCTGAGCCAGAGTATCCTGGCTTGCCCTGGCAGAGTAGGCCATTTCTTTCTACTGGATCATGGCTGTCTATTCCTCTCCCCCTGCCCCCCCCCTGCCCCCCAAAAGACCCCCATAAAAAAACAAACAAACAGGAAAATATTACTGTCTCTGCTTTATTTTAAGGTAAGAGGCATTATTTTTAGTGCCAGAGACTCTAAAACTTAAACTAGCATCTGCAGCCAAGGCTGAGCCCTATGATTGTACAGCATTTCTGAGCAGCTTGCTCTATTTCAGCTCCTAACCTTCCTCCAAAATCAAGTTTCCTCTTTTCCCACAACCTTAGGCTTTAATCTCAGGCTATGTTTGTTAACTCTTTTTTCATTCTTTTTTTTTTTACGAATGACTAGAGAAAGAGGTGGAGGGTGGGAATCATGGCTTTCCCTAATATTCCTTATCCCTCTCCATCCTCATTGTGTGTAGGATTCCATAGTCTCTGAAGCTTTGTCGTATCAAAAAGCTCCTTTACTAGCATATTCCTAGTAGGCATTTGCTTCTCTTGTCTCCATGTGTTTGATTTCTTTGGATTATTTTTATTGAAGTTAATTTCCAGTTTTATGCCATTATGGTCTGAGAAGATGCTTGATATGATTTCTATCTTCTTGAATTTGAAGAGACTTTGCCTATGTCCCAAAATGTGGTCTATCTTTGAGAATGTCCCATGTGCACTTGAGAAGAATGTATATTCTGTGGCTTTGGGGTGCAGTGTTCTGAAGATGTCAATTAATTCCATCTGGTCTAGTGAGTCATTTAGGATTGATATTTCTTTGCTGATTTTTTGTTTAGATGATTTGTTGAAGGGTGACAGTGGGGTATTAAAATTTCCTACTATGATTGTATTGCTATTAATCTCTCTCTTAATGTCCTCCAGCAGTTTTTTAATGTATTTGGTTGCTCCTGTATTGGGTGCATATATATTTACCAGGGTTATTTCTTCTTGTTGGATTGTTCCCTTTAGTATTATGAAGTGGCCTTCATTATCTCTTATTATGTCCTTCACTCTGAGATCTAATTTGTCAGATATAAGTATTGCTACCCCAGCTTTTTTTCATTTCCATTTTCCTGGAAAACTTTTTTCCATCCCTTCACCCTCAGTCTGTGTGCATCTCTTTTTCTGAGGTGGGTTTCTTGTAGACAACAGATGTATGGGTCTTGTTTTCTTATCCAATCTGTTACCCTATGTCTTTTGATTGGAGCATTTAATCCATTTACATTTAAGGTTATTATTGATAGGTGCTCATTTGATGCCATTTTTATTCTATACCCGTGTTCCTTCTTCACTTCTTATTTCTTTATTTTTACAGTAGACCCTTTAGCATTTCTTGCATTGCTGGTTTGGTGGAGATAAATTCCTTCAGTCTTTTTTTGTCTGTGAAGCTCCTGATTTCCCCTTCACTTTTGATTGATAGCCTTGCTGGGTACAGTATTCTTGGATTCAGACCCTTACTTTGCATGACTTTGTATATTTCATCCCATTCCCTTCTGGCCTGATAAGTTTCTGTTGAGAAATCAGTCATTTGCTTCTCTTGAGTCCAGCCACCTTTTTCACCCCCCCCCCCCCCCAAGTTCCTGTTGTCTCCTGGGAAGTGTCTGTGAAGCTACGGATCCTCTTCCTTTCCTCCTGCCCCCTAGAATGGTAAGGAATGTCCACCCCTTCTCCAGCATTGAGTTCACGAAAGGCAGTCTTCATGGAGGAAGCCCTGCAATCCCTCTTTTCCTTCAGAAATTATGGGATTTGGGAGTCACATCCTTCAAGGATTCTGGGGTACAATGGTATTTACCTGGAGTGGGTTAAATAGTCTTTAGGAAATTGCAGATAGTAAGTAAGAGAAAATGGTGACCAAGAAGAAGAAGAAGAAAAAGAGGGGATGGGGGTGGGGATGGGGGAGGGGTGGGGAAATGAAACTTCTATGTTGGCCACAGAGATCAATTTTAGTTTTCAGGTCACCAAAGAAGTCTTCCCCATCATACATAATCTGAGAAAAGCCAGGTTGCAAGAAAAAGCCATTTTCCCCCCAACAAGACTACCAACCCATTAAAGTCAAGGCCTTTGCACTCTATGGTCCTGGACAGAATGTGCCCCTCGCTGGTGCCTGGGAATGATCATGTATGTCATGCCAGGCCCCAGATATCGATGAAGCAGCCAAGTATCCTCACCTAGCACTGTAGCTTGGGACTGGCTTGTGCACAGAAGTGGCTCTCGTCACTCAGAATTGTGAAATAAAAAAATCATTCAGATCACTTGGAAGCCTCTAATGCCCAGAAAAGCAATTTTCCAGTACAGTTTCAGATTGTCCTGGGGAAGGACAAATGTGTCCTCTTGACACATTGTAAATAGATAAGAGCATGCGTGTTAGAGTCCTGCCTTCTTCTCCAAGCACATCCAGGCCAGACCCCTTACTTACTGATGGCGAGGCCAGGCAATTCCCTAGCCTGCTCTGATCTTCCGCTCTCCTGCAAACCAGAACTAACCTTGTCATGTTGTTGTGAGGTTTGGTAATGTTACTTAAAGGCCTGGAAATTGTAGTTACTCTTTTAAGAGTTGTCCCGTAGGTCTGCTTCAGCTTGTGGAGATTCCCCAATCTGTGGGACTGCCTAACTGTATTGAAACAATAAAATAAATGTAGACTGGAAGTAATTGAAACCTGGGGAGCTACCACAGACATTCCATAACATAAAGCTTGTTACCCAAGAAATTGTAGAGATGATTGATCCAATACAGAAGCAACGGAAGCTCAGACTCATGCCTCCCCATCCAGAAGAACACAAATACTAATTTTTATTCTGTTGTCATTGGCAAATGCTTCGCCCCTCAAGCTGCTCTTACCTCCTTTGTTTTGTGCAGAAGAATTATGTTTATTGTACTTTTCTTCCTTGGAGTCCTCCGAGATTACCTAAGAAGCCACTTGGGATTTTTTTCTAAGTCATCTCACGCACAGCTGCTATAGTAGATTTCATCTGGGGAGCTTTAAAAAATCCCGAGGCCCCCAAGTCACACCTTATACCAACTTTATTTAGAATTTCTGGGAGGTGAGACCCAAGCATCAGTGTTTTTAAAAGCTCCCCATGTGATTCCAAAGTACAGCATCGTTTGAAAAATAAAATGCACTGCAGATGTAGATAATGTATTTTCCTCAAACTGCTCAAATTACGTTGCACATCTGTTGCTGGGAATGAGCCTCTCATATTAGCATGGATTAGTCTCTACCAGATTAGTTGGTTGATATTTTGGCGCTAAGAGTCTAAGGGGATAAAATCCTAGCAAGGCAAATTTCAGTGTTACAGCAGAGCCATCAATAAGACTTGAGCTGTGGGAAAGCAGGTCTGGGAAGGCAGGGAAGAGAGGTTTAGATAAAGCTTGGGCATCAGAAAACTAGAGGGACAAAAGAATGGTTTGGGGAGGTTCCCATACTGATTTCAAACTGCTGTGCAAGCTAAGAGTTTAAAACCATGGTGGGCAAACTGCGGCTCGGGAGCCACATGCGGCTCTTTGGCCCCTGAGTGTGGCTTTTCCAGAAAATGCCACAGCCTGGGCGAGTCTATTATGAAGAAGTGGCATTAGAAGAAGTTTAAGTTTAAAAAAATTTGGCTCTCAAAAGAAATCTCTGTCGTACTTTTGATATTTGTCTCTGTTGACTAATGAGTTTGCCGACTTCATTAGAGCATTATCCCAATAAACCAAGGTTTCGGGTTTGATCTCCAGTCAGGACACATATAAGAAGCAACCACATGAATTCATCAATAAGTCGAACAACAAATTGATGTTTCTCTCTTTCCCAAATTAATATATATATGTATAGAAAAAGCAGAAGGATATAATTTAAAATATAGGGGTGGGGGGGAGTCATAAGGTTATAGATTCTAGTTTTCCTACAATGATCATGTAATATAATAAATTAAAACTTTTGTAATAAGTTTTGTAGTAGGTTTCCTACTTCTAAGGTGGAATTGAGGTGCCTATGTATATTAATGCGAACAAGTTTTTTAGTAATTATTCTATGAAGATAATCAAGTGTTTTTTTTTTTGTTTGTTTGTTTTTAAAG